TCTATCTATCTGTCTATCTATCCATCTATCTGTCTATCTATCCATCCGTCTATCTATCTGTCTATCTATCCATCTATCTGTCTATCTATCCATCTATCTGTCTATCCATCCATCCGTCTATCTATCTGTCTATCTATCCATCTATCTGTCTATCTATCCATCCATCCGTCTATCCATCTATCTATCTATCTATCTATCTATCTATCTATCTATCTATCTATCTATCTATCTATCTATCTGTCTATCCATCTGTCTGTCTATCTATCCATCCGTCTATCTATCTATCTATCTATCTGTCTATCTATCCATCCATCCGTCTATCCATCTATCTATCTGTCTATCTATCTATCCATCTATCTATCTGTCTATCTATCCATCCGTCTATCTATCTGTCAATCTATCCATCCATCCATCTATCTATCTGTCTGTCTATCTATCCATCCGTCTATCTATCCATCTATCCATCCATCCATCTATCTATCTGTCTATCTATCTATCTATCTATCTGTCTATCCATCCATCTGTCTATCTATCTATCCATCTGTCTATCCATCTATCTATCTGTCTATCTATCCATCCATCTGTCTATCTATCTATCTATCTATCTGTCTATCTATCCATCCATCCATCTATCTATCTGTCTGTCTATCTATCCATCCGTCTATCTATCTGTCAATCTATCCATCCATCCATCCATCTATCTATCTGTCTGTCTATCTATCCATCCGTCTATCAATCCATCTATCCATCCATCCATCTATCTATCTGTCTATCTATCCATCTATCTGTCTATCTATCAATCCATCCGTCTATCCATCTATCTATCTATCTATCTATCTATCTGTCTATCTATCTATCTGTCTATCCATCCATCCGTCTATCTATCTGTCTGTCTATCTATCCATCCGTCTATCTATCTATCTATCTGTCTATCTATCCATCTATCTGTCTATCTATCCATCCATCCGTCTATCCATCTATCTATCTGTCAATCTATCCATCCATCCATCCATCTATCTATCTGTCTGTCTATCTATCCATCCGTCTATCAATCCATCTATCCATCCATCCATCTATCTATCTGTCTATCCATCCATCCGTCTATCCATCTATCTATCTATCTATCTGTCTATCTATCTATCTATCTATCTGTCTATCCATCCATCCGTCTATCTATCTGTCTGTCTATCTATCTATCGGTCTATCTATCTATCTATCTGTCTATCTATCCATCTATCTGTCTATCTATCCATCCATCCGTCTATCCATCTATCTATCTATCTATCTGTCTATCCATCCATCCGTCTATCTATCTGTCTGTCTATCTATCTATCGGTCTATCTATCTATCTATCTGTCTATCTATCCATCTATCTGTCTATCTATCCATCCATCCGTCTATCCATCTATCTATCTGTCTATCTATCCATCCATCTGTCTATCTATCTATCTATCTATCTATCTATCTATCTATCTATCTATCTATCTGTCTATCTATCCATCCATCCATCTATCTATCTGTCTGTCTATCTATCCATCCGTCTATCTATCCATCTATCCATCCATCCATCTATCTATCTGTCTATCTATCCATCTATCTGTCTATCTATCCATCCATCCGTCTATCCATCTATCTATCTGTCTATCTATCCATCCATCCGTCTATCCATCTATCTATCTGTCTATCTATCCATCCATCCGTCTATCCATCTATCTATCTGTCTATCTATCCATCCATCCGTCTATCCATCTATCTATCTGTCTATCTATCCATCCATCTGTCTATCTATCCATCCGTCTATCTATCCATCCATCCATCCGTCTATCCATCTATCTATCTGTCTATCTATCCATCCATCTGTCTATCTATCCATGCTTCTATCTATCCATCCATCCATCCGTCTATCTATCTATCTATCTATCTATCCATCCATCCATCTGTCTATCTGTCCATCCATCCATCTATCTGTCTATCTATCCATCCGTCTATCTATCCATCCATCCATCCGTCTATCCATCTATCTATCTGTCTATCTATCCATCCATCTGTCTATCTATCCATCCATCCATCCGTCTATCCATCTATCTATCTGTCTATCTATCCATCCATCTATCTATCCATCCGTCCATCTATCCATCCGTCTATCTATCCATCCATCTATCTATCTATCTATCCATCTATATATCTGTCTATGTATCTATCTATCTATCTATCTATCTATCTATCTATCTATCTATCTATCCATCCATCCATCTGTCTATCTGTCCATCCATCCATCTATCTGTCTATCTATCCATCTATCTGTCTATCTATCCATCCGTCTATCTATCCATCCATCCATCCATCTATCCATCTATATATCTGTCTATCTATCTATCTATCTATCTATCTATCCATCTGTCTATCTATCTATCTGTCTATCTATTTATCTATCTTTCTGTCTATCTATCTCTACCTATCTATCTATCTCATCTTCTATCTCTTTCTAACTAAACTTTCTTTCTAATTAATCTTTCTTTCTAACTAATCTTTCTTTTTTCTTTCTTTCTAACAATTTTTTCTTTCTTTCTGTCTTTCTTTCTCTTTCTTTCTAATTAATCTTTCTTTCTGTCTTTCTTTCTTATTAACTAATTTCTCTGTCTTTCCTATCCATCCATTCGCGCTGTACTTACATAATCAGACTCTCAGTGTTTAGTGTGGAGGATGTTTGTTTTCTGCAAACGATGAACCGTGTCAACGGTTAAACTCTTAATTTCTGAATGAAAATCAAAAGCTCGTTGTAAGAACAGAACATTCTCTTCTAATGTCGCTGACGCTTTTAACGTCACGATTTCGTAACGCTCTGCGAACGAGCTTGACGATGCCCGCGGCTCAGGCTGAAGGTTTATGGAAACTCTTACCCAGCCGTCTCTACACACTCACCCGGCTCGCTAAAGTGAAAACAGAGATGCTCACAGTACAACAGCGTTATGAATACATTCATACTTTCTGCAAAAACATTCCCTGAATCCCACATGTTCTCCTCCTCCCAAGAGTCTGGAGCGCTTTACGTGTCTTTGTCCAATAAGCAAACCATTTTTTCCACTGTGTTTACCAACAGAGCTAATGTCATTTATTTAAAGTACGTTTATTCTGTTTTTATGAGCAAATGTTTTTCCAGTCAGAGCCGAAATGCTTTTGTGCTGACGCGTGTTGCAGGACTACGCCGTGTCCATGGTCCCAGTGCAGGGCTACCTCCACCTGAAGAGCTTCTGCAGTATGGCCGGTCCAGACCTCATCGCCATCGGCTCCAGCGAAGCCGCTCAGAAAGCCCTGAAGGTACACACACACACACACACACACACCTGAACGTGTCCGAAACACTGCAGCTGATCTCAGGTCTGCAGCTGATGTGGACTCCAGTAGCTTTTCATGCGAGGATGACGGTAAACGCTTGGTCAAAACATTTAAATTAAAACGATTCGACTTAAAAACACACTTATCAAAAGTAGAATTAAATAATTGACAACATACTGAACATTGAATAGGGTTGCGAATCTAAAATCGATTCCTTTCAACATGAGTGTAGACTGTGTGTATCAGTGTGTTGGACCCGTGCAGCTCTTAAAGTGACAGCGCTCATATTCCCGCCGTCTCTATAATAACACTGATCACACAACACAAGACAGAGAACACTCACTCGCTCTACACTGAATAACTTTATAACTATATTTGTAATGTATAGTTATTTATAAAGTGCACTTATTTTAGTTTCTGAACCTGAAAATATTAAAACACTGTTTATTTCAATCGTATCTGTGTTCAGTTGTGTCTATTTGTGGCGATTGCTAATGTTTTATGTGTTCTTGTGTAATAACTGAGTGTTTATTGTGTGTAATAATGCTGAAGTGTGTATTAGTTGGGCTAGTTGTTCTTCTCTGGTGTGTTTAAACCTCAGGCAAACGCTGTGTGTAAGTGTTCTTCAGCTGATGATTTCTGCTCATGATATTCAGACACAGTCACAGCTTTAGCAATAAGACTAAATGTGAATGATATCTAGGTTTTTTTTATCTTATTGGAATCGAAATTGGATCGTTAAAATTCAAATGATGTCCAACCCTAACTTTTCCATTCATTTTTACAATTTTTACAATAACCTTATTAAAGGTATCTGTTTTCTTTAATACATCTCAGTAGTTCAGTCATGAAACACAATGAGTAGCTTTACATTCATAAGCATTAAAAAGAAATGAAGGTTTTTGAGGAACACACTCCAGGATGGTTCTCCATATAGTGACTTCAATGGGGTCGAAGGTCCAGATGTGAGTTTCAGTGCAGCTTCAAAGTCTCGACACGATCCAGCCGAGGAATAAGAGTCTGATCTAGACAAACCAGCGGCCATTTTAGAACAAAATAAACATTTATATACTTTTATCCACTAATGCTGGTCTTGCACTAGCTGTGATGCGCCACACGTTACGTCATCAGGTTTATATAGCGCTGGTAACGCCGGTTATGTGTCGCCGTGTCGACCATAGATATCCATAATAAAGGCTAGATGTCTCGTCCGCGCTGCTGGCCAATGGAGGTGGACGTCCGCACTGGCGGCCATCTTGTCACAGGCAGCTCGCTCACTCGTAACATTGTGTTTTAATGGTGCATGTACTTTTTAAATAACCATAACTTGCTCAATTTTCTACCGATTTTCAAACGGTTTGGTTTGTTATAAACGTCAGAGATGTAGTTATGACACTGCATACTTATGAATAATAAGTGTATCAATAAATAATCATCCAGAATTATATAGCCACGTTTGTAAGAAACCAAACCGTTTGTAAATCCGTCAAGATTTCACCGAGATAAGAGTATTTGTGTTCGTGCTGATCACTCATCTTACATCAGGCACCACAGAGCCCGCCAGAAAGCTTGCCTGTGACAAGATGGCCGCCGGTGATGACGATAGAGACTCCGCCGTGAGACATCTAGCCTTTATTATGGAGATCTATGGTGTCGACTGGGAGAAATGGGGTTTTAGGTTCTCTATGCGGCAGAAAATGCTTCACGTCATGTGATGTGAGCGCCCAGTTCGCCAGAGTTATGATGTAAATGACAACTTTTTTGAGAACGATGTTATTATTGGGAATGGAGGGGGGAATATTCGTTTCTCTAAATATCCAGCTATGTGTAGGAAACAAGCTTCATTAATGACCTGTAGAATATGTGAATGCACACGTTAAGGAGATTAATGAAGAGATGCAAGGTATGATGCAATTTTGTTTTTAAAAAGTAGATGCATACTTGAGAAATATACCAGAAAGTACGGTGGCCGAGACAGCTCAACGCGCTGCAACTGAAGCAAACACATGCAAATAGAAAAACACGCGTGCAAATAGAAAAAAACATCTTCATCAGTTTCACAACACACGTGTGCTCCAAATAAGGAAACGCGCTGCAAAAGTTCACAACACAACCAAATACATAAACACGCTGCAAATAACACAGACCACAACGGAAATGTTTCCAGGGGAACCAAATAAGTGACGAACCCGGCCGAGACGTGCTTATTGCTCGTGAGCTTCCCTATGCCCTACTCCCTTCGAAGGGCAGATATTAGAGCCCTTTTGGAGTGAGCAAGGCTCTAGTGTGCTGTTAGGCAGCCGTGTGGAGCGCACTTGATGAAGGAGCAACTAAAGACAACGTGGGATGTTCCCATGACAACGCAGCACGGTGTCCATCAGCTGGTCTTACCACAGAAATATGATGTTAACACAACGGATGCAAACACATTTTTATTTTTATTTGACAAAAAAAAGCTTTTAAAATGTGCGTTATATATCTGTGTCTCAACTTTAAAATTGTGGACCCTACATTACCTAACATTTCTTACGAAACTTTTCTTTATGAAAATGTAATAACATAAAACAATTTGTACAGTGTAACTGGTGTATAGATAAATATCTTTCCTTCATGTTTTTCTTCTTTATCTTTTTTATTTATTTATTTTAGTTTCCAGCTCATTGTTCTTTTCTCATTTGTATTCTGATGACATTGAACATATTGTTAATACATTTTGTACATTGTATACAAGTTGTATGTCATAAAAAAATGTAATCTCTGTATGTTTTGCACAAACAAATAAATAAATAAACAAATAAATAAAGTATAATTTTAAGCTGTAAGCACCAGCACGCATAGATTTATGGATATCTATGCCAGCACGTCCCAGCCGGGTCCGTCACTTATTTGGTTCCCCTGGAAACATTTCCGTTGTGCTCTGTGTTATTTGCAGCGCGTTTCTGTATTTGGAGGTGTTGTGAGTATTTGGAGCACACGTGTGTTGTGAAACTGATGAAGATGTTTTCTTAATTTGCGGGTGTTTTTTTATTTGCACGCGTTTTTTTCTATTTGCATGTGTTTTCTTCAGTTGCAGCGCGTTGAGCTCTCTCGGCCACCGAAAGAGATGTAATGCATCTAGTATACTAGTATTGTGTATCTGAATCGTGAACATGTTGATCTACATCTGATTCACACACTTCTGAATATAACTTGTTTGTACTTTAATGGTGTGTAGGGTGTTGGAAGCAAGTATGCAAGATTTGAAGTGCACTAAAGCTGTAGAAAATGTGAATGCACACATTAATATTTTAAAAAGTTGCAAGGATCTAAAATATTGATGTAATATTGGGATTATGCATACTTCATACATCAGGTACAGATAGGGTTGCCAACCGTTCCGTATAATACGGAATCGTTCCGTATTTGACACATAAAAGGCTTGTTCCGTATTGAACTGATACGGAACGCACTTTGTTCCGTATTTTTGAGAATCAATTCAGTGCAAATCCATGACAGACGCATAGCTTCTAATATATAAGTCAGACAGACTATGATGAATGAACGAAGACCCGCTGCTATAATGGCAAATTCGGGGACTTGGCGCCACCTTGGCGGGCTCTGACGTGTAATGACGTAGAGTTGGCTCATTGGTCGCACGTCAGAGGCGCCCGCGCCATTGGATGTGCAGTTGCCGCAGCGCAGCCTGAGCGAGCCAGACGCTCAATGTGCAAGCTGTGCAGCTGCAAATGCATTTTACAGGCTTCAGTAAATCGAGTAAAATGTGTTTCCGAAGACATTTGTAGGCTATGATAAGAAAAACTACTAAAATAATGTTAAAAAAATATTTTGCACCGGAAAGAACATTCTAGAAGTCTAATTCTATTGAATAAGTTCGCACAAGGCTACAGAAAACTGTTGTGTTTATTTTTCTTCAAATGCAGTCTAAGCCGATGAGTTTCGAATGTTATATGTTGTATTTGTTTAAGTTAAAAATAAAACGTATTAGAATTAAACAAATACATGGTTAATTTTTGGCAAAATGATCATGATAGCCTTTATATATCTGTGTGGATAAGTCTTGTATATTGATTAAGCCTACTTTGCTATTCTATAAATATATAGGCCTAATAAGTTGCATTATAATATGATATAAAATGTATGAATTTTATATCATATTATATATGA